ACGTCCGAACAGGCAAACACAGTCAGGATCAAAACAGGTAAAGAACAGCATATCTGATGGAAAGAAAGTGGAAAATGACAGGTATGTATAATAGGAGCAAATGAGGGAACAGGTGAGTGTGGAGGAGGAGCAGGTCAGGTGATTCCTCCAGCAGGAAATGCATGAAATGACAGCAGAATTACAACATGTTTGCACAAACAACTGGACTGAACGAATGAGAGGACGAACAAGCGGTGAGAAACTCAAAACCATGACATAAGACATCAGGCTTCACACACCAGTTTGATGGCTTTTGGAGCTATCTTTATTTTTTATGAGTTGTCGGGTTCAGGAACACAGTGAGAGATGAACATTTAGGGTGGATTGAGGATAAATGTCATGTCACGGAGCCACCCGATCCTGCTCCCAGCTGCCCTGAAGTCCACATTCCCTCGCAAGGATCCAGACTGCAGGCGTCATCCTCAAATCACAGTTCAGCTGAGGACACGCTGAGCCAAACACACCGCATGTACGTCAGGAAAACACGTGACTCTGGTTGTAAAATTTTAAACGTTTGGCGCTTCAGTGACAGAACATTATTTTTGAAGAAGTATTTAGAAAAAGAAAGTGAAGAAGTATCTTTACTTTTACTTTTTTAAATGCTTGAATGTCACTGTTGATACTTTTAGTTAAGAATGAAATGCACTTTTAATGGAGCGGTTTCGCATTATGGTGCATGTACGAACACTCACATGAGCTCTGTTCTGCTGCAGTATGAGCGCTTTTCCTTATTTTAAAGCTCCATATAGTATAAAAGTAGATGTCCATGTCTTTTTTGACTATAAAGCGGGTCTAGGTTCTTTATTAATACTGTGAAAGGATCTAAGTATCTCATCTAAAGCACTCAGTCCACAGAGAAATGCACACAGCCTGTATTCAGAAACTAAGCCTTAAAACCAGCCGTCAGGTATTCTGTCACTTTGTGATGTCACATCAAAGCAGTCAACGCTCTCTGCCATGCCCCAAGCCCCGCCCACCTGGACCCACCATCCAACCTTGCAGGATTTGGCATCTCTGAGTTTTTACCTGAAATCTGTTATATTTTTATTGGATCACTCAGAGAACAGTCAGCCAATCAGAAGAGAGGCTCGGTGCCTCCCGTGCTTTATTTTGAAGTGTTCTGATCAACACTTCGAAATAAAACACAGGAGAAATGTGAAATATGTGATCTTTAAATGCACGTCTTACTTGAATCACCTGTTCATCATAATGTAACACCACCTATAAAACAAAAGTCATTTGCTGATGAAGGCTATAGTGTACGGTTGAAAGCTCTGGAAATAGCTAAGTGCAAGTGGACATTGCATTTTGAACATTAATTACATTAATAAACATGTGTCAACATTGTAGCTGCTCTAAATCTACCCTTACACTTTATTTAATTGTAACATCATAAAAACAACATATGTATATATTTTGATATAAAAACATCTGCAATGCATCCCAGTGCAATCCCCCAGTGTAAACTTGTGTTTTCATGATGAGAACGGGGCTGTTCAGTCGTGCATCGAAGGACTTCCTGTTCAGTGAGAGTGAGAAAAAACAAATGACATCCTGTGCTGCAGCTATAGGCTGCACATGAGAGCACACGTCATGTTTTATTGATAGAAACGCAGCCTCTCTCCGTCACTGACCCTCAGTCGTCACAAACTCGTGATGTCGCTCTCAGACTTTATTTAAACTCAAAGAGCTTCACTTTAAAGTAAATACAGTGCGTCAGGCTCAGGTTTGGGGAAATGTGTTTAAGATTATGCACAAAATATTTCCATTTGATGGAACGGTAGAGCCATAAAAACAAAGTGTGTGTGTTTTAATATTTCCCTCAATGTAAACGACAAATAACCTCAATGTAGATATTACATGTGATGATATATGATACTGTCAGACAGTGAGGGATAAGAGGATTTTTACAACCTTAAAGCTACTTACAGGGAAACAAAAGGGAGAAATTCATATAACACAAGTACCAGGTCCTTCAAAACACTAGACAACAACCTAATCCAAGTTATCTGAAGTTTTCTAAACATGTGGTTTATGTCGGTTTTCCTCTTGGACTCCAACTCATAAATCATGTATGTTAAAATGAAAAGTAGTCAGTGTTTAGTCTGTCACTTTTCAGAACACAGCGCTGGAAAGTAACTATATTTACTCAAGTACTGTGCTTGCATTTATTTTTATTAGTTTTTAATATGTATTAAGTTGTTTTCTTTTTAACTTACACGCACAAATCAGGAGTAGCAATCCTATTCTATTCTACACTACATTGTACTTTCTACTGTACAACAATTTTACCTGACAGCTATAGTTACTAGTTATTTGCTAAAGTACAATGTAGTACAGTCGTGGAAATAACTACAGTAAATACATTTGCTGGACTTTACTACAATTTTAAATTACTTTACTTATATAAATTTTTCTCCAGCACATTTATCTGAGTGTAAATGAAGAATAAAACTGATGATGTGTATGGATCAGCCAGTAGTTATACCACCAGCAAATGTAGTTGTAGTAAGTAAAGTAAAAGTTCTTGTAGTACAAAATGATATTATTACATATATCAGATTAATTGATGCATTAACAGCTAATCAGCATTTTGCTGTTGTAGCTTGTCATCCTGTTTGCAGGATGGAGCCAATTTAACCACTTTATATATCGTTAGGTAGTTTAATCATATTTCGTTAACTGATTAAACATTTTAAATGAAAATCATCATCTGCAAAGTAAATAGTGATATAAGTGAAATATTTGCCTTTCAGTTAAATATACAGAATAATGTGGAATAATGTAGGAATATTGAAGTTCAAGAAGTAGGGCCTATAGATTGTACTAAAGTGTCAGACGCTCAGAGTCAATAGACTTATTTCACCCTGGTCAGCAGACGTTACTCCATTATTTATTTATTAATACTTATTATATAATACTTACTGTGTAATTCTGACAATACAGTACAAACAAGTGCAATATTTCAATACCTCTTTTCTCTGTTGTTTCAGGCATGTGCAACTTTCAACTGTGCAATTACACCATATACTGTTGCATTTATATTCATATTTTACCTATCACCTATTTCTTATAGAGATATTGTTCTCATATATCATAGTATAAATAAATGTTTTTTTACATTTTATGTTTATATTTTATCTTTATAATCCTATTTCTTATTCTCTATTCTTTGCTGTTATTGACGCAGTAACTGTAACGTAACCTCATTTCCCCTTGGAGATCATCAATCAGGAGTATTCTGATTGATTCTGATTATTCGACACAGTACTTGAGTAAATGCACTTCATTACTTCCCATACAGAAATGTAGTAAATGACGTATACTGTATGTCTCTATATTAAGAGTGATATTACCATATATGTCACCTATAAGCAGATATATTATTATCACATATATAAGTTTATAACATAAAAAATATGAAGGCTATATGTACGTATATAAAACATATCTATGATGTATTTATATATGGTATAACATTTTGTGAGGATATATGTTAATGATATATATTTAATTTATATATGCAAGTTAATTAAAACAACATAGGCCTACAGATAAAACCTCTATGTTTTTCTTACTAATTTCTCATTAATTTTAATGTTTATCCTCCAATTCTGGGGAAACTGGTCTCAGACTTTTGCAACCCACTGTATATAATATCAACATATATTAATAGGCTTTGGGGTGGACAATAATAGGGAGGGGGGTCAAGAAAACGCTCTCACGCCACATCAGATTACACTAAAAGCTTTATTTAGCCCGGGGCTTTGACAAATACAAATCTGGGCGTCACGTGAGTGCGACTGTTAACACCAGTTGACAGATGATGCAATCCTATAAAGCAGTTGCATGGAGCCGATCACTGATGCGGCCCAGTGCACCAGAGAAAGTCAAAGTGGGGGGGGGTGGGTTGTGACAATAAAGAAAGGGGGGAGGGGTATGCATTGAGTCTTTCTTAGTCCTTTTGCAAATGGAGGGAACATTAACAGAGACCCGTCCGGGGTCAGCAGTGACAGGACACCAAATGTCTTGCAGCAAGCCGTGAAAACGTGCATGTTGTCCACCGTGGGACCATCAAAGCCTCCAGAGAGCGGCGATGCGAGGGACGTGTCTGTGGTCATGTCAGCGCAGCTCCCATTCAAAGCTTCGCTCTATTATTATCCCAGGAAACGGGTAATTACAACGGGACATCTCCTGGACGTAGCCCAAAGCGGCAGGGGGGGGGGTCACATGCCACATGCCTGAGCCGGTGACTCACTGGCGTAAACGGTGACCCTCATTTGCGCAGCTAGCCTATTTCTGAAAGTTGGGGATTTATTGTCCCCTGTTTGCAGCGCGCGGATGTTTTCTCATGTCAAATGAGAGCCGCGCTGGTTCGCTCTCGGCGGGGCCCAAGCTCTGTGCGCGCAGCGTGGGCGGTGCGTAATTTGCGCTCATTGTTAGTCCCCCCCCCGCCCCCCCAAAGTTGTGTAAGAAGTTCGGGACAGGGCAATTAATGGAAAACACTTATGAATAGACAACGTTGTTTCTAAACAGAGGGGCTCATTTGTGTCAGAGCAAGACAATCAGAACTGCTTCACCCCTGAAATCGATGAAATGAAATGAGCGACACCGCGTGAACTTATTCTGATTTTAACTCATGAAAACAAAGACAGCAGGATTCAAGCAGGCGGCCTGTGTGTTGGTACCGGTATCTGGAAATGTGGGGTATAGTTTGGTGTTGCACCCGGGTGAGAAAAGGGGAGGGGGTCCTTGATTGCGACATCAAACACTGGTGTCGTCACTAGTGAGCGATACGTGCAGGCACTGCCTGTTCCAAAATAAATATTGACGTGATTGTTATATTCAAATGAGCTGCCTAACCGGACATGGGCGGGCCAATCAGAGCCCATCGTATCATTACACCTTCTTTTCAGAAATCATTCATAACGCTGATGCGTCAAACACTCACAGAGGACCCGGCTATAAATACGGCTGCGCGCAAGGCACAGTTAGACATTTTCCCAAAATCAAACGAAAGACACAACTGAGCAAGAACCGTGGGAATCCGGCTCATCCCTCTGATTACCCTCCACCTTGCTCTACATTTTGTTTTCTATATTTATTATCCAGCTCACAATGTTTGCCATGGGTGGATTATATGTGCAGCACGTCGTGGTGGCAGCGGTGTGCTCCGTGCTGGCCACAGGGACGCTGGGGTCCCCGGTGGTGGGGCCAGAGCCGATCCGATGCGCCCCGTGTACTCCGGAGAAGATGAGCCAGTGTCCAGCGGTGGCGCCCGGATGCACCGAGGTGCTGCGGGAGCCCGGCTGTGGATGCTGCCTCGCCTGCGCCCTGAAGGCTGGTGAGCTGTGCGGGATCTACACGGCGCCGTGCGGCTCCGGACTGAGGTGCACCCCGAGACCCGGCGACCCCCGGCCGCTGCACTCCCTCACCCAGGGACAAGCCGTGTGCACGCAGAGCCCTGAGCCAGAGCCGACCCCCGAGCCCCAGACTCAAGGTAAGGCCTATCACCTCCACATTTATGCATCTGCTTCTACCACATCCAGCAAATGCGCTTCACTACGACCCCTCCAAAATCTTTAAACCTTCAAAACCTGAAGCCACATTCACTCAGCCCCGCTTCACATTCATTCAATCTCCTCCTCCTCCAGATCAGGGAGAGCCAGAGGCTGAGATGGAGAACGCTGCCATCGTCTCGGACCCCGGCTCCAGCCACTACCTCCCCGGCCACAGTAAGCCCTACGACCCGAGGGCTGCAGCGGACGCTCAGGAGAGCATGAAAGCCAAACTCATCGCCATCCGCAAGAAGCTGGTGGAGCAGGTGAGTCGAGGACAAAGGATCAGTTTCAATCTGTAAAATCCTCAGCGCGATATGTTGCTAAAAGTTTTTTGGGGGCCGCTCAGAGGAGAGGAAAGGACTAGCGCGCCACAAGGGGGAGCTGGTGTGCTGTTTGAAAGGATGAGGGAGAGACTAGAGAGAGAGAGAGAGAGAGAGAGAGAGAGAGGGAGAATGGGGATGCTTCAGTTTTATGTCAGCTTGATGTCAGCCCACTTGTTTGCTGATAATAATAATAAATTAGTGTTGATCATTATCATTATTATCATTATTATTATTATTATTATTAATAACCCCTCTCTCACCTGTGTCCTGTCGGCAGGGGCCCTGTCACCTGGAGCTGCAGAGGGCCCTGGACAAGATCGCCAAGTCTCAGCAGAAACTAGGAGACAAGTTGACCAGATTCTACCTCCCCAACTGTGACAAACACGGGCTTTACAAACCCAAACAGGTCGGTGTCTTCTTCAACATGTGTATGTGTGTGTGTGCATGTGTGTGTGTGTGTGTGTTTTGGATTCATAGAGCGCCACTCAGCATGAAAAAAAAATTGTGTGTGTGTGTGTGTGTTTGTGTGTGTGAGAGAGTGTGTAGCCAAGATTATGTCAACCACAGCTTTTAAATGATTGTGAGAGTGTGTGTGTTACAGGCAGGGATTTGTTCAGTGTGTTTGGTTTGAGGCGTGACCGTACATGTATGTTTCTTGTTTTTTAGAATTCTGACTTTAATCTCAGACAGTCAGTATTCTGAAGATTAAACATTAAAGAGACTGAATTCTGACTTTAAAGTTTTTAAAGTAATCCTTTTCTGTAGTTTTTTATATGCAAATGTAAATTAAATGATTTCTGCCCCCCCCCCCCCCCACTGCAGTGTGAATCCTCCCTGGACGGACAGAGGGGTCGATGCTGGTGTGTGATCTCCTGGAACGGCAAGAAGATTTTAGGCTCGACCGACCTCTCTGCAGACGCAGAGTGTCCCTGAAGGGATCAACCACTGATTCAGATCTCACACACACACACACACACACACACACACACACACACAAAGAAGAAGAAGAAGAAGCCACTGATTTTTTTCCTTTTTGATAGCTGTTTATTTATTGATCTTGTCCATGGTGGTGTTTAATTCAGGTACACTGTCATTTCGGGACTGTGCGTCCCCCTCACCCCACCCCCACCCCCCTCCTTCAAACACCCGTCCCAAAGAGAAAAAAAAATCTATTTTTGTTTTTCTGAAAAAAGGAGATTTTTTTAATATTGATGCATTTACTTCTACTCTTCAGCCTTATTTATTTCAATTCTACTACTTTTTATTTGTAATTATTTCATGAGTATTTATATCATTTTTTGCCTTATTGTTATTATTATATTATTATTATTTTTGTGAGTGTATAAAGTGTATATATGTATCTTGGCCCTGAGTAACTCCACTGCTGAGTTGAGCTCGCTCTACCCTTAAGGAGTTGTCTGGAGGTTTGGTTTGGGACAAACCAAGCAAGAACAAAAAGCACTGAGTGACCAAATGTCATTTAGAAGAATTTCTAAATGTTGTTTTTATGATTCATTTTCACATCGTTGCCATTATTATGTCCTTTTTTTTGTGTGTGTTTGTTTGTTTTGTTGTTGTCTTTTTATTTTCTGATGTCACACATGATCAAATCTTGTCTGAACACAAAACTCTCAGTCGGGAAATCCTTAATACAGTCTCAGAAAACATTTCCCATGGTTCCATGGGGCTGCAGATAGCATGACAGGAGGTGCCTCCCTGCGCTGCCTCTCAGACGGGTATTTCTACATTTACCTACCTCCAATATTTATGTGTCTGCTGTCAGTCGTGTTGATGTATCTGTCAAAGAAAAGACTTGCTGTTTGACTTTACAAGTTGCCGTTCTCTCTGACCAAGAACACATGACCACAAAGAGCGAGTCCGGCGGCGACCCGCGACGCGCTCTGCTCTATCTACATGCTGCTGTTGGAGAGAGAAATATTATTAATGTGAGTGTATTCCAAAGTGACTAACTGCTCACTCGTGTGTATGTACACTTTTTGTAATTGAGATGTAATGTAAGAAAAAAAAGGTGATATATTTAATAAAAACATTAACCTCAGCTATGTGCCTCTGGCCTCTCCTTCACCTCAGGAGGGGTTTTTTTTATCCATAGGTGGCAAAACATGAGAATCACAACAGTTTCATCAGGATGTGATTGTGAAAGTCTGTGTGTATTGTGTGTGTGTGTGTGTGTGTGTGTGTGTGTGTGTGTGTGTGTGTGTGTGTGTGTGTGTGTGCGGATTCACTCCCGGAGCCACATTTTTCTATTTCCAGTGTGTTTGTGTAGAGTGTTATCACGGTGATCTAAAGTGGAGGTCCTTGTCTAACTTTAGACGCTTCGCCGGGACATGCAGCTCTGCGCTGCCTTTTGACCCGCGCTCTGTTTGCCTTGGTCGGGCACAGGAATTCGCCTCAACCTCTCGTGCCCACTGCCAGCCTGCCTGGCACCACCAGATTTATTTTTATTCTTTACAAATTGAACCTGTGCTTTATCCTTATTGACACATTCCAAGACTGAGGGGAGCCTGATTGCATTCAAGGACTTCAGCAGGACCAGATGTATGTGTTTGATCGGCTGCAGAAATTAAGCTGATGAGAGGACGATTGAACTTTAAGATGCTGCTCATGATGACATGAAGTGTCATGAAGTTCTACATTTTAGGCCTACACCTATTTTATTGTGCATTACCTTCTTACCAACCATATTTATTCCAGTTACTATTTATTGACTGTTGCACTTCATTTTGCTTGTCTGGTGTTTTTAAAGCGTATGTAATGTAAATGCACAGAAATGACTATTAAAGGAATTCTGAATCCATTCCTTCGCAGTGATATAAAAAACATCGAGACAAACCTCGAAATGAAGGTTTGGACTATCTCAAGTAGAAGATATATTAATATCTTCAAGTTCAATCACAGGTAAAAATTTGAGAGTTTTATGATATCCTGTTCTCCAAAGGTCATTCATCTTTCCAACCTCTATTAAAGATTAAAGATAATCCTGTGAACTAATCATTCTTTGTTGTGCTTACTTGATTTATCTAAGGCAATCAGTTTCCTAAATCCTACTGAGTAAACACAACTTTTCACCTATGTCAGACTAACCTGTTTTACTTTAGTTGCTACAACTTGGAACAACTTCATGAAATGAAGTAAACACAGCGAAATTTTAAGTAAACTTTACAAGTGAATATGAAATCAACATAATTTACAATTAATAGCTATATTTACTTTTTCAAGGCAATCAGTTTCCTAGATTCTTTTTAAAGTAAGCTCAACTTCTCACATTCTACAGTGAATGAAGATGCATAAGATCTCTAAAGATAATTCATTAAACTGTGCCAGGTGTAAGACAAAAAAAGGAACATTTATGCATATGTAAGAAATTGCACTGTTTCTATTTACTAAACAATTTTCATCTAGATAAAAAAAAAAAAAATGCAGATTATAAATAAACATAACATACTTTGCTAAGAAATGCATATTCCTATGTTGGAAAAATGAATCTCCTCCAACTTTTTGGATGATCCTGGACCAAGTAGCTGAATTTTTACCTTTGGAGAGATTAACTTTGGAAAAACGTAACCACTATTGTATTTTTCCAGACCTACGGTTTCCACTATTATATCTATATCCATTATATATATATATCCATTGTAAATTAACGACATATGATGTTGCTGTTAGCTACATCTCAGTCACTGCTGTTTGGTATTGTTGTTTTGTTTCTTTGCTGAGGTTTATTGATAGATCCAATAGTTATTACTGATTATTGTGAAATAAAAAGAGATGGAAAAAAAGAAAACAAACCTCAGAGACAGTGTCTTAAAATGTGTTCACTTTTTATTTAAAAAAAGACATTAAATACAAATTATATCTTGAATCAAAATCATTTCCTTTCTCTGTGTGACTTCTAGTTTAGTATCATCAAAAGCTTGAATCAAAATAACTCTTTGAAGGATAAACTTGAAATAAAAAACAAAAAAACAAAACACATTTACCCGTGAACAAGAGAGATTCTTAACGTGACCAGCAGGGAAAAAAATAAAAAGTGACATTATTACAGGAGTGTGACCCTGGTTCTGCAACTAACAGACTGAGGCTGGGATGGCCGGGTGTGTATGGAGAGAAGTGACTTAGTGAGAGGTGAGAGGTTCACTGGCCTTAAGAGGCAGTGAACTCAGATGACCAGAAGAGACCTGAGTGCCTGACTGACACAGATTCTGCCCCCCCGAGGCTGAAACTCGCCTGCTGGGGCACGGAGCTTACAAATGACACTGCTGAGCAACAGAAGGAAAAGGTTCATTAAAAAATATAACATTCATTAGTGATTATATTCCCCAAAATACACTGAATCATATAGACTTTACTGTGCAATCGGTGAGTCACTGAATTGTTCATAAGAAAACCTAGTTTGGATCAGCTTATAATTCTTTTAGATAAATAATTTTTATTTTTAAGTACTGTACATGATGTCTAGTCAGACACGTAGCTGGCCAGGAAATAATAATAATAATATATATAAAAAGACACACTTACAAATATCAGGGAGGGAATAGCTTAAACATATTTGTATGTATGTTCCTCCCCTTTACATCAAGTCTTTGAATAGATGGGATATAGCACCAACAGGCTGGTTGTTAAGTTGTTGCTGTCTATTAAAGGAAGTGTACAGCCGATTTTCATGCTACCGAGCTACTGGGCTACCAAGCATTCTTTGTCGGCACTCTCTCCACTTTTCAAGTCTTTACACAGGATGTGGGAGAGCATCGGGCAGGAAGCTCCTCAGGGAGGACCACGCCTCCTCCCTCAGACCCCCTACCACTTGTGTGAATGCATATTTGGTGCTGTGTCCACCTTGTGGAGATTTGTTGGCATACGATCATACGAGCATTTTTTTTTTTTTTCAAAGAAACAAAAACAACAACAACAACAACAACAAAAAAAGAAAAAAGTTGCATTGAATGGAAATTTCTGAGGGGAGTTTTGCTAAGTTTGCTGTCAGAAGTCCTGGTGTAGCTTCGTTTTTTTTTTCTTTCTTTCTTTCTTTTTTTTTTTCCTCTCAGGTTATTATTGTTTTCTTACAGTATCACACTGTTTCATCTGACATTACCTCGAAGGAAAGGTATGCAGATGCAGATAGGTCCAATTGTCTTTAACTGCATGCACTGACGAGTAGCGGCGCAGCTAAAGTGCTTTAAGTGCTTGTGCTTGAAGCATAAGGGCAGCTGGCACCTGTGGCGGGGCAAGACGGTCACACCGAGCTCGCCCCGTTTAAACAAGTCTACACCAGGTTGCACCACTGACAGGAAGAGGACCAGAGGTGAGCAGGGTGCTGGAGGGGGGGCTGCTTGGGTTAGTGGGTAGGAGGCAGGGACAGGATTAGGCACATAGACGCAGACAAGGACAAGGTTTTTGGGGGTAAAGACATATAGGACTGCAGGACCTCAGCACCGGAGCTTCATGACGGACAAGGGACAAGGACAAGGACGGAGCGAGGTTCGAGCTGTAGTGTGCTTGGACAAACAGCACCCCGGGACATGGGTGTGGACAGGAACAGCAGGGGGCGGGAAAGAGACAGAAGACAGACTAATCTAACCAAACTGTTTCCTAACACCGTAGGGCAGCGTGTGAGCAGCTCAGAATAATACCTCACCAAAAACCTGTCTGAGTCTGAAATACTTGCCTCCTGTCAGCTTGAAAAGCGGCTCAGAGAAGGTGCAGTTAGCTCGGATCCACAGGAATCACAATGGATTGAATCAACAACTTAAGAGTCACAAAAGAAGCATCAAAATGTCCACGGAAACTTCTCTGACCACGACTGCACTTTAGTGTTGGCAAAAAAAACAGCTAAACACGACCTACATATGTTGCTCATTAATTTAGCTTTTTCTGTCTGTTGCAAACTTCAAATATAAAGAGCTAACCTCATAAGGTATTTATTAGGTAGCCTGATAATCAGACTGAATTGTATGTTTGCATTATTGTTTGCTTTTTGGGAAATGGGGTTATATTGTATTGCATAACCACTAATACCCTTTTACACCTTAATTAGCAGGTAGAAGCAAGTTTTTTCAAACCTGCAAAAAAAATGAACTCCTTTTACACTGCCAGATGAGGTTCCCGAAAGGACACACACAACTGTAGAGAGCAAGAGCATGCATGCACGCACGCACACACACACACACACACAGACGCAGGGGAGGAAGAGTAAACTGCTAGCCGCCGTGCAAACTGGTAAAATGAATCCGTCGGTGCCTCCGTGCAAGGCGCTTTAATTGGTTATTGTTTTTAAAACTTATTTCGGGGCTGTCGCTCACTCTTTCATCCCTGAGTGCAGTGTAGTCATGGTGTTTCTGGTGTAACAGCACCGTGCTGACAGGTGACAGGTGTGTTTACAGTGTTTGTGCTCTGAAAAATGGAAAAGGGGTGGCGAAAAACTTGCATGTTCACCCGTGGTGTTGTGTTTACATCAATGCCGATCGGAGCCGAAGCCGATAAATACCTGCATCTACTGCAGAGTCATTTGACCCGGGTGTGAGTGCCGATTGAACCCTTTTCCATTGCTGACAAAAGCCTAATGTTAGTGGGTCTTAGTGGGTTTTTTGACCAATGGAAAAGGGGCTCTTGTAGCGACATTTCATGGACACTCTGGTGGCAGATGCCAAGAAAATGTTTTGGTTTAAACTAAAGAAACATGCAACTTTAAGAGTTGTTATTTCTATAAATCGTTGGGGTGTAGGTTGTTGAAGGAAGATGACGACTCCATTGATATTCCAGCTCACAAAGCTCCTCAAATGCTGAGAAGCCATTGATGAACACAATCAACCAGTGGAAAAATAAAAGAGATGAAGGTCTGGAACCAGGCCAATATTTTGGCAAAATCTACAGCTTGATCCATGTTGGTCCATCCTTTCAGTTTGTTCCTTCACAGCAGAGTCCATGTCACACTATCCACACTTGGCAGAACTAGTTTACTTTACATTTAATGTGAGGCTATCAGCCAACGAATCAACAGCGAAGAAGTGGATTGTGTAGCAGGAGCAGTTTCAGAAGTTTGTATGTTTTAATGCTGTTTTTTTTTTTTTTTTACTGGGTCATCTTCAAATCATTTTTAGCTGCTGTAAATCCAAAACAACTACAGCCGCTGTAGCTACAATTTTCTTAGAGCCATGTACATTTCAAGCTTTCAATACTCAGAAGGTAAGTTTTCAGTAAGGTATTCCTTTAGTCGAGGACCACAGAGGGTGGGGGAGGGAGAAGGCTCAGAAAGGTCGATGTTTAAGGCACTGTAACTGCCTCCGTTCCCTTCCCAGGGAAAATCCAGAGGCAGCAAGGAGGGCCTTTTGGTGGCCATCATGCTGGACAAAACATCAAAGCCTAACTGTCCCATAATCCTTCACTTCAAAATGGACCCTGAGCCAGAGAGTGTTTTTGTTTTCTGCATTGTTGAATGGAGCGGGGGCTCGGGATGGGCAGTCTGACATCTCTAAACTGAGCTTACAGTATTTATACAAATAAAGCATCCGCTCACTCATGTCTGTGTGAGCGGATGCTCACGTTATGTTACATTTCGTCACGTAGGTGCTCACACATAAAGACACACGCAATTAGCACACACACATGTACAGACAGACAAACACATAGAAACGGTGGTGGTGCGGTTTTTTCAGGGTCAGTCACAAACAAAGTCCTCTTTAAAGTGAGTGGAAAAGTCCCTCCTTCCTCTCTCTCTAAAAGAATAGTGCAGATGATAGGATTCTCTCTTTCTTCCCCTCTTCTCTGTCAGCTTTCAGCTTTATCGTTTTTTTTTTTTTTTAAGGAAAGGATAGAGGTTCCCTAAGCACAGGCCAGATAGCTGTGATGGACAGGAGTCTTGGCCGGTCGCACAGGCTGTGCTCCACCCTTTCCCCCCTCCCCTCCCTCTCTGACAGAAATGGGACCTGAAATCAAAGGTCCAGAGCTCCTTCAAATGTTTACATAAAACTACATGCAAGAGCAAAGTAGGCTCTCTTTCTTCCTTCCTTTCTTTCTCTCTGTCTTTATCCCCTCTCCTAACCCCAACCCCTTTATTCGCTGTCTTCCTCTCTCCATCCACTCGATGTCCCTCCGTCCCCCTCATTTGCTCTCCAGGTTGTAGCACTGCGTCTCGCCCCGCTCCCTGCCATCCAAGCCGGGCAGAGGCTGTCCGTATTTGTCCACGCACCAGCAGTATCCCCGCCTCCTGCCTTTGGACGGACGGCACTGCAAAAAGAGGTGGAGAAAAAAAAAAAAAAAATTAAATTGCTTTTTAGCAAACATGTTTGACATGCAGAGATGAGCGAGAAGGACTGCACAGACAGGTGACGGACACATGATCGTCACTCGACTCGCTCCAAAGACCAGCATTTCCAGGGTGAGGAATTATTCTCCTGACAGCTTTATCAACACCGCCTTCAATGTGCATGTGTGTTTTATAACAACACTCAATCTCTCTGTTGGCTTTTAGATTTTGGATGACTGTCAGGAGGCCGAGTTGTGCCTCAGCAGAACTCCAATAAGACAAACATCTCATCGATCATGGACAGGAACGCTCTGCTCTGCTGCACATAAAAACTATCAGAGATAATGAAGATCAGAGCCGGAAAGCTTTGTCCATGTGCAACCAGCATGCTGCAGAGTTTGTCCTATACACGAGCTGTGGAGCAGTTTATTTCTCAGGCGTTATGTGCTCCTGACCAGTGATTAAAAAAAAAAGCAGATCATTTTGATAGAGAGGGGCTGGGAATGAGTGAACGAGAGTGAAGGAGTGTGAAGGTAAACATGGAGTTGCTAAAATATTTGCCAAGGCCAGATGGAGGGCTGCAGGGAAACCAGCGCTGCTATTCTGGGAAGCTGGCAGACACTCAAAATCATCTGGAGCTGATTATGGCTTGCGCGTGCACAAGCGAGCGAGTGAGCATGTGCGCACATAAACACACAATCTTTAAACATGTAGGTGCACACAGAAACAGGTCGCATGCACTGTGCGTACGCGTACCCCCCACCTGCTTCCACACATGTGCTCACACGCATGTACGCAGTAATATCAGATGTCCCGCAGGGGGCTGGGCTTTGTAGAGTGGCAACTTTATGAGCTCCATTTGGGGTACACATGAAACGACACAATCAGTCAGGCCAGGCTAAACTCTGGCTCAGAATAATCCTCCTCCGACCCATTGCCGCCCCCCCCCCAACGCCCCGGGGGAGTGGTGACAGATCGGCGAGGTGAGCAGCCACAGCCTAGACACGCTTGTCTCTCTCTCTGCAGTGCAGTACAGTAATGTAGTCCATAAGTATATATACATAGTATATATATTTGGTTCTGTGTAAGATTAAAGTGCCTCCTTTTATATATTTTATATTTTACTACAAACATCTAATACTTCATATCACAGCCGGTCATTCTGGAAACAATGCTACTGTGTTTTACCAATATAAATGCACTTTTCTGCCCTCCGCTGACTTCCATTCTTTTCTGTATGGTATGAAACTTAACTTAATATTGCAATAAAAGCACTGATTTTGCATTTATTTCCATTTATTAAAACAAATACGTCACAGTTTTGCTGACAACATCACCACAAGTGCTTTAGATTTTTGTCACTGTTTTCCATTCATTTCTGTAGGATGTAAAAATCAATTTGCAGACTCGCAACATCAGTTTCTTTTGTTTATTTGCTTACTTTGCAAGAGTTAGATAAGATGATCAATACCACTCTCATGTCTGTACATTAACTGTGGAGCTCTAGCCACGAGACGATTAGCCTAGCTTAGCATAAAGAAAAGGAGCAGTTAGCCTGGCTCTTACAAACACCTCTAAACTTCACTAGCCTTAAGTACCTAAATATAAAAACAATAATTTGTGGTTTCTTGTCCAACAACAGCCTGCAGCAGTAACGTCCAACAGTCATGTTACAGTAACCACAGTTTATCCACCACACACTGTTGTTTGTTAAGAAATACTTCATTACATTACAGTGTATAGCTCCCTCTGACTCCTTTGGGAGATATTTCCCAAAATGTAGTAAAGTCAAACCACAGTTTCCCACACGGTAACCAACTAGTTTAAGTTGCCTTGACCTTAACCATAATGGTGGCATATCACCCAATATGACTCATTTCTGGAGCAGACACACACTATCAAATGACACATTTTGCCATTGAGAAATGAGAACATGCCCATTCTCCATCCTGGATGAACAGCGTGGGATTCAGAGCACTTTTTACCCTGCAAAAAAAGACTATAATTTCTAAACAGCTTATCCGATGTGGATGTAAACACCCTCAAATTAAAGCTGAAATCAGCACTTTAATCTCAAAGTCATTGTTTAATTTAAATTCCTACACCCAGAGGGGGGTGCAGAGCCAAAACAAAACTCTCCTAATACTTACAGACTGCATTGTAGGCGGCTGTGCAGCGACACCGAGGAAGACAGACAGACAGGCTTTAGAGTGTGACCAGGTGTCTGTTTCCGGCGTAGTCAACATCCACGTGCAGCCTGAGTGCATGATCAAAGGCAGCTTTATAGAGACAGAGGCCTATTAAAATACCTCGCCAACTACTACTGCAGCAGTCTGGGGGCAAGTACGCAGGCCAACACGCCCCGTTCTCACACACTCACATCATCCAGGGACTCTTTTTTGATGAACTCAGTTTTCCTCCTACCTACATCTCCTCGTCCTCCTCCTCCTTGTCCTCTGTCTCACTCTGTTTTCTCTCTCTCTCTCACTCTCTCTCCTCTCTCTCTCCTCCCTCCATTCCCCCTCATGGTGCCATCGTCTGAGTCTGCGGCCAGCTTCTATTTTAGCCCCGACCCAGCGGACGAGTCTGCGGAGAGGAGCTTAACATTGTGTTCCTCTGCTCTGGTTAATGATGATAGAGTCCTGCATGTGCCTGGTGTGTGTGTGTGTGTATTTGTGTGTGTGTGTGTGTGTGTGTGTGTATGGGAGGGTTGAAAAGCCAAAGGAGAGGCGGAAGGGAGAGGAAGAGCAAAATGTGCATGTGTGCATTCCCCTGTTGCTTGGCTACCTTTGAATTTCCGTTCAGTCTCTCTTTCATCTGTGAACTATTAGCAGTCATCTCAAGCAATCCTTTCTTGCCTGCTTCAATCCACACACACACACACACACACATGCAAACACACACACACACACACTGTAGGACAAGCCAAATTTCCACTGAGAACTGGACGTCACTTTACAGCTTCCTAATGAAAACTTAAAGACTTGTAGAAGTAACACTGAACACAAAGCGACACTGAGTTTAAACTTTTTGTTGTGGAAATGTCGTGTTTTTATACATTTTACACAATTACACTGTTCTCCTTTTAAGAAGGTGTAATCAAGTCTATTTGACCTCTTCTACATTGAGCAATGTGGAACTTGGAGCATGTTTGTTGATGGTGGGGAACTTTTGATTAATGGTGCAAATTCACATATTGCATATTATTTTTTTTAAAATTGGTAATATGATATCAGGTTGTAACCGTTAGGTGCTGTCCACATAGAGTGACCTAGATTAGTTAGAAAAGACACAAATACTGGAAACAGCAACCAATGTGTTGTTTTAACACACTGAGTAATAAAATACAGTACATCTGCTTTGTAGCGTCCATGTTGTTTCCACGTTCTGACTTAAAAGCACAGGAACACAGCGAAGTCTGAAGAACAGCTTCCCAACTCAGGAAATGGGAACATCCGAGGCACAAGTGAACGCAGCATTACTTCTGTGCAAAAATGATTTCCAAAGTTCAGCTGACGTTAAACACATGAAGTGGATATCTGGTAGGAATCCCTAAGACTTTATAAACACCATAGGTTTGGAAGAGAACCACACGGTTTGGCTAACTCAAAGTGACGTCTCATATTAACTTTGGCTGAACTTTAGTCTATAATGTTACAATATATATTTTCTACGTTTACTCCTGGCATCCACACTACTCCTGGATTTTTGAGCCTCTAAAATGGAGACTTTTGGAAACGCCACTGGCACTGTTTTAGGCTACATTCACATTACTACGTTTTCATTTAGATGCATCTCTTTTGCTTCGTTTTCACCTCTCATCCCGGTTTCTGAGTTTCCGAGCACCAAAAAACTGAGACTTTTGTAAACGCTCCTGGACCCATTTCAGTTTGAAAATTCCGGGCTTGTGTTGTAGTCTGGAGCGGCTGACCTTGGTGTCTTTGCTAGCAGCTGTTGTTCAGTTAAATTCTACATTTTAATGCTACAACTTCTTTGCTGTTCCTCGTTAATAGTATTTTTTACAACTAATCAACTGCAGAGTGGACAATCTGCTTCCTGTTTACACCGGCGTGCACGTGGTCGCTCATGTATGCATGCGTTTTCAAGTGATAGCATGGACGGAGATCATTTGAGATACGGAACTAAAATGGTCGTCTGGTCATCTGGTTTTCGTTTTCGAAAACGCTGTTTTCAAATGAAAACATAGTAGTGTGTACGAAGCCTTAGTTTGAAAAGTCCAGGGTTGCATTTTAGTCTGGACGGACAGAAACTTAGACCTTTGGGAACTATGATGCAGATACCGTCGTTTTCTTCCTGATTGGGTGAAACTGCATCTGTTATCTGGTATTCTTCCCAAATTCGTGGATTCGATGGATAATACTCCTGGTACCTCTATAATATGTTGTCATATTTGCTTTGCGACGACTCTCAATCAGTGTTTCCGCCACCAGGACGGCCCTATACTCACGTGTTTACCTTCAGTAAGAGTTCTACCTCGTCATCAGTCCAGGTAGAGAAATCTCTAATCATACTTTTCGTCATCGCTGTTCCTTGTTCGTATTCTTTTCTGCAACTAAGCAACCAATCTGTATCAGTCTTAAATCCAAGCTAACTGTAGTTGTCGTGCTCACTGCAAAAGCAGGCCACAAACTTTTCAGAGCAACTTTCAACAATACATAAGGTGAGTAGCTGATACTCAAAACACAGGTCCTCAAACATGCTGACTGATCCCAGCACCCTGGACCACAGGGTCTTAAACCCGGGTCAGCGCAGACCTTGTGCCCTATATTCTGAACCTCTCCGGCCCGGCACTGGCCCTGCGTGGTCCACATGGCTGTCACTAAAAAAGCCCACTTCATCCACCCCACGTGTTCATAATGCTACCTTTATGGGGTGTGTATACATGTGTGTTGTGCGTATGAATGCGTGCGCTTGTGATGCAGGTCTTCATAGCTAATAGCAGCGCCTCTGGGCTTCACTGACATTAAAAAGAGCCTGGTCTGACCACAGGATAAACACAAGCTCATAAAATGCAATGCATGTGTGTGTGTGTGTGTGTGTTTGTGTATAGGGGCACATGTATATGTATTTGTTTAAAAAAGGTGCATCTGTGGGTGTGTTTGCAAGTGCACTGGGAGCAGCTGCAGGATATTAGTTTTTCTAAAAAAAATAATAATAAAAAAAGTGAATTCAACTCCAGAACAATATGTTTGGTCCTTCAGGAAGTATGGAGCCACACAAACTTCAAAATAAGAGCCTAAACATTACTTTACACAAAGTGCAAAGAACAGGGACAGACTGGACCAGCACAGATCGATATAAGTAATGACTGGATGTGGTGAAGAGATACAATGTGACATGAAGGGAAGAAGAAAATCATTTAAATTGGACAGGTGATGTCTCTTTATTAACAGAAAATTGATCAGTGATAGGTCTGACAGATCATTTATCAACTAAAACTACCACATATTTGCATATTAAAAATTCTGTAATACAAGTTGCTTCTTTCCTTCACTTCATATCACCGTAAATTTAAAAACATTTGGTTTTTTTCAACTGTGGGTGAGAAAAAAAAAGCAATTTTATGATCTGGGCTTTGCAAAGTTGTGATTGATAAATCGCATATACAGAAGTACAAACATGAGGCTTAAAGGAGTGTAAAATATAATCTGGGCTTAAACAAAAAGAAAAAAAGCAATAACAATCAATAATGACAGTATTATTAGGTGGAGATCTAAACATATTGTGGTTGGGTATTAAACTTTGAGTATACAATGAAATTTGTCCATAAAATCAAGTATGGAGCAGAAATGAAAGTTGGGATTGGGAGTTCAGGAGATTGTTACTGACATATCCTTTGATATTCTTCATCTGCATCACAGTTTTTATTTCTTTATTTTGGCAACTCCTTGCACAGCTGCTCCTGCATTTCAGTTTGTTGTAGTTTGCACAATGAAAAAAGGGATCTTGTAGAACATGTGTTTGTTTTTATAGTGTTTGGTATTAGTGCCAAAACTCAGGTATCATATTTTGCATTGAAATTGAAAAATATTACTCTCTCCTAAATATTATGCAACAGCCATGGCCAAAAAAAAAAAAAAAAAGACTCCATATCCCCCAGCGAGGAGGAAGAAGGGATGGATTAGAAATCCAAGGAGGGAGCAGAACGAGGGAGAGAGACAGAGTGAAAATAGCTGTCTGAGTCCCCGAAGGTTGGCCAGTTATTATAAAGCCATTGTGGTCAGTGTGTACGTTTCCACAGATCCTTCTGAGTCACGCTCAATAAGTCAGCCCTTATGGGCCTGGCACTGTCAGGACCCAGGGAGGGAGGGAGGGAGGGAGGGAGGAGGGATAAGGGTACGCAGGCACCTGGCTCACATCCTTAACCCACTGCCTCTTCTTCCTCCTCCTCCACCTCCTCCTCTCAACACATACACACGAAACTCTGAAAGAGTACACAGACAGACGCAGACACTGTCGTCCCATTCACAACCCTCTGCTGGGTGATTCCTGGCCAAACAAGGAAGGAAAAGCCAGGTGGGCGGAAGGGCAGGACAGAGAGAATGATGGAGCGGGCAGATGGGACAAAAGACGGGTGGACGACTGTAGGCAGGGCACAATGGGGGTAATGATGGGTGGGTGAAACGATGAAAAAGAGAGAGAGAGAGAGAGTGAGACTTTGAGGGGTGTAATGAGTGGGTCAGTGTCGGGCATGCACGGCCTGAACTGGGATACTGAGCCAATTCATATAACTGCTGCTAAAAATAGGTTTCTCTGTAGCTGGAGGTAGGGCTAACCCTGCTCAGACTACTCCTACAGGCCTAAAGCACTCACATTACCCACAATACACACACACACACACACAAACATACATGCTTTTTCCTCGTGATAATTGACCCATAAGACATTATTTTACCCAAAATCTGTAAATATAGCAAACAAATAGCAAACAAATAGCAACAAGTAGCAACAAGTATTCCGATGGGATCAAAACATTCCTGCAGCATAATTCGAGCAATTTCTGCAACTTTCTTTAACCGACAATCATGTCGCATTGTCCGCTTCACAAAGCAATTGACCAATTGTGAGGAAGTGCAGGAGGTACAGTTTTTTCTCATGCAAGGAGAAAGATATATATTTATTTGAACCATTATAGGGTCTCTTTCCTCTCTACGACAGCAGGCTGTTTGCTCCACCTTCGAGTGCGTCTACTTTAAATGCGCTCAGACGACTCATCAAGTTCATCTTGAGCCAAAATATGGTTAAACACACTGTTTCTGTAGCTTGCACATTGGTGACTAGCTTGAAGAACAAAGCCATAAGTGATAACTGCAAAGAGAGCGACAGTGTGAGGCCAGAAAAATGACTGTTTGCAACACATCATGTGGAGTGGAGAGCGAGGAAGCCAATTATGCTGCAGGAGTAGTTTCTATTGTTGTTTTCGATCTTTGTCCTGCCACCATTGGACTCCATTGTAAACAGCATGAATCTAATTTGACCACATAGTTTCAGTTTTCAGTTCAGAGACTTTTCCAGGAACCCAGAAACCCTACAGGAACTCTGGACTTTTTCCCTGCATCTCAACCAGATGGACTTCTTTCCAAGTTTTAGGTCCTAACCGCTAAAAAGTCCCCACTCAGGAAGCAGGACTTTCTGGTAGCCCAGGCTGTTGGACTTAAAATCACTTACTGATTCTGCAGCTTCTACCTAACTGCAAACAAGAAGTGGCGGCAGTTACAATCAATATCCGGTATAGGGAGGAACAGGGATTTAGCAAGCAAAGAGGAACTAAACTGAAATTTAACATTTGCTGATTGAGGTCAGTAAAACAACCACACAAAGAAACACTTCTAGCTCTTAAGGAGCAGTTGGAACCCAAACCTGAAAAAAACATACACTAAAGGAACTCTCTTCTTCCTCTGTAAGTCTCAGACAACGACTATATGTAGTGTTTCGTCATGTGTGAAAACTGTTATCTAATCTGTTAATCCTCAGAACAGCAACACACACTGTTCCTGAGTATTTTAGTTTCTGATGACCTTTCGTTTCTGGAACCTCTTGGTTGAAATCAAGATTGGTTCTCAGTCACTTCCTGGTACTATTTGGTGGGTAAGGTCCGTATGAAAGATGAAACTAGCAGCTTTAACCGTCCACCTTTCAACAGTCCCCGACTATACGATATTAAAAGATTTTGGCTGGAGAATCTGCTTGAAGATACCGAAACAGCTTGTGTGCTCAGTCCTTCACCCCACCAAACCACCCCACCCACCCCCCACCCCCCATGCTTGCTCCCTTCTTTTCACAGTATTGTCACCCTAGACGGTTCACACGGTCTCCTCTTCACTGTGTTTCCGGTCATAAATCTCTGCAACACACCGTGAAGGCACATCCCCTCAGATGGATTTAACACAACACCCTGCACCCCACCGGCCCTCTGAGAAAGGGGTGACAAGGGCTGGCACACTGCTGCACGTGCGCACACACACACACACACACACACACACACACACACACTCACACACACACACACACACACACACACACACACACACACACACACACACACACTCACACACACTTAGACCAGAACTGATACTTTCCTGGTAGGTATTTGTTGATGAAATCCAGTAAAAGAACAAGGAAGAGTCTGATTTTAATAAAAGTAACAATGAAACCGCACTTTGGAGACTTTGGGGAAAGAGTGAGGTAAGAATCTGAGAGGATGATTTTATTCTGTGTGTGTGTGTTAGTGTGTGTGTGTGTGTGTGTGTGTCTGTTATGGCTCAACGCTCGAGTTGGTCTCTGACTCATGGTGCTTGTGGGGTTTTTTTGGTGACTCATGCGTTTCTCAGAATGGGTTTCTAGCTCTGTGGAATCCCTCCGATAAGGCTCCCAACCTCAGGAAATGGGATGGTGGTATTTATTTGACACGCTGTATGTCTCTCTCAGAAATAGCCCCTCCCATCCACGCACTACCTTCCCGTCTTGCCACTCCTCCCCTCAGGTCAGCACATGTCACCCACCAAACTACTCCAACAAATTTCAGCTTCCTCGTTTTTTTTTGGGTTTTTTTTTTTTTTTTTTTTTTCCCGTCTTGCAAATGAGCAGGCTATGGGTGGCCCCGAGTCGGCTGCACCACGGACAAGAAAAACTAAACCAGTGACAGCATGTTTGTTTTTTTTACCTCACCAACAGCACCCCACACCTACACACCCTCACCAAAACTACCGCCATCAAACAAGCGCCATACATACACTCCCCTGCCGCCACATCTACTGTGCCACACACACTCCCAGACCACATTCTTACATCCCTACCCCCCACACCGCACACCCACAAACACACCTGACCGACTTCATTTCCTGTGAGGCATGAGTCAGACGACTGCAGTGCATTTACTGGAGTAATACATGGTTATTAGCCATTCTGATAATATAGTGTTGATGTCGCTGTCAAGGCAACCTGAGCTGCACAAAAAAGGGGACTGTGTATGTGTAGGTGGGTGGGATGAGTCCGTGAGGATTCTTTGGAAGTGTTCAGGCATGCGGTGGGTCTATTTGCATGTCCGCAGGTGTGTGTATGTTTAAGTGTATGTTTAAGTGTGTGTGTGTGTGTGTGAGACAGACAGTGTGTAAGAGGAAGAAACAGCAGGGAGAGCCATTCACCTGTTTTTTCTTGTAGAAGCCCTTTCTGTCACAGTTGGGTATGCGGAAGCCTCTCGGGTTGAGCACGTTGCTGATTTTAAGACTGTTCAGGATGCTCTCCATCTCCCGCCGACATGGTCCCTAGCAACACGGCAAACACACCCCAACGACACCAAAATTACACACTCATCCTTACACAATCACAGAACACGAAGAACATGAGAAGTGTTCATGCAGTCTGAGAAGATTATGGTAAACATTAAAGTATAACAGTATAAAAGTTAACCTCCTGCACCCTACATTACATTTCCCCCCCACTGTATGATCACATATATTCAGAATCTGCCAGTTCATACACACCCTTTCAGATATATCATGCTTACATTGAACAAAACTGAAGGTGGGCATAACTTTTATGGCTGCAACATCACACCAAAATGAAATATTCTAAATATCTTGTGCATAATTTTATGCAAATATCCTGAAACTTGTGATTTTGGCTAAAATTTCAAATAATGGTCTGTAAATCTTAATCATTGGGCTGCACTGAAGAACCCACTGTTTGGTCCAGATTGAACAGTTTTATTCCCAAAATGAGACATCAGTGGTACCTTCTCTAACAAAAATGTTCAAGTGTGTGTAATTTAAAAAATAATGATGTTTAAATGACACTAGATAGCCTAAAGGGACCTGGTGGAGTTTCTAACCACAAATTGCTCTGTATAGCAATGTTTTCATGAGAGATTCCCCATACTGTTTGTATCTTGTGTTTTTTCTGCACGTGCATGGGGCCGCACATGCACACCACCTACCACGGGTTGACAGCGATAAGCATTTTTGTCAACAGCACAGGGCCAGGGTGGCCAGCCATGTGCTATGGAGAGTCAGTATTCTGCAGAGTTTAATTCCAACAAAGGGGATTTCACTGATGAGTCTTTTGATTTCATGTCACTTCTCTTTTATCAGCTCTTAAAAAAGGCATAAAAAAAAAAAGAAAACCTGCAACCTGCTGGTTCTCCATGGCTTAAGCTACAGTATAGTTGGCCTATTAACACTGACAGATGGTAATAAGAGATTAAAGAGATAATAAAATAGGTGGTAATGAAGAAAAGAAGACAACCAAGCCAGTGTAATCATGTTTTTTGAGCTAAGACACAGATTCAATATGTGTGTTAAGCCTTTAGGACACACACAGTGTGATTTTGGTGTGAAGCAATGAAAAAAAAAACGATTAAAACGCCACCAGATACCTTTAAGTAGGTATTTGAAACATGATAAAGACAGGAAATCATTATCATTAAATTTAATGATAGTAATTCATGAAGGCACTGAACCATCAAATACTGCAGTATGAAAAGCTAAAAAACTGGATACTAAACCAGAAGCTGTCAAAAGGTAAATACTACAAGTTAGCCAGAACGCTACCTAGCTAGCAGTTTCCAGCTGCTCATCACACTTTTTTCCACCAATGATGTTTGATTCATGATGTCTGGGCAAACACTATTGATTTCAAAAATTAATTTCAATCAAATAAAGATTTAATTACTGTATGTAGGCTATAAGTTAGCTTGTGAGCTAACTAGCGAGAGGGGTCTGTCTGCAGACTGCAAGAGAGGGGCGTAAATCAGGCAGAACCACATGAGATGTCAAAAAAAGATCTTGCGATCAGATTGAATTACTGTATTAAGCCTGTTTCTCCGTGATTTCATAAACAATTGCCACTAATGCACATAAAGAGAAATAACAACTGGATTATAAAAGTAAGGTTTCATGAATAATTGCCACCACTCCCCATAAAATATGATAAGCTGTAGGGTGATCGACGATCATCAGAGTGATCACCGATAGCTACTGCCAAGAAATGTCAAGATGATATTTGGCTTTTTCCCATTAATTGTATTGTATTGTAATTGTATTAAGTTATTATTATCATTATTCGTAGTACTGAATTAATATTACATCTAATTTGCCCTGCGATAGTTTCACATATAATTGATGCGCGCGCACACACACACTAAGCAGTTTTAAGCAGAACTTTGGGACACTGAGAGAGAGAGAGAGAGAGATGAAATAAACAGCTGTTTCTACATACCTCCTCCTGCTGATCTCTAGTGAATATTGTGAATGCTACAATTAATTGATGCTTTATTTATTTGTGATGACATTTTGTTTTAATAGCCAGCAAATGTGAAAAGTCACTCTGGGAAGTATTGGAGGAGTGACACATCCATATTACTACTGCGTATCCTGTCTGTCGCAGGGGCAGCAGTCTGTGCAGAGCTGCCCAGACATCCCTCTCCTCCATACAGCTTTACTAACTATTATAGAGAGCCTCTCTGTTTGGACTGAGAGTGAGCTGCCAGCCACCTTAGACTGGTTAAACGGACCTGTTGCGTCTCATTCACGAGTTGGAGCTCCTGTTAGTGCCGGAGCCTCCGAGTGAGATGTTTTGGATGGTAAATGAGTGCTTTTAAAACATATTCAGTGGTCCAACAGCGCAGCTTTAGCTCATCAGCATGGCTGCCGAGCTTAAACCCCTTTCACGTTGGACCAGAAGGCACAGCAGCAAAACGTAACATGAAGTGGGCGTGGCATGAAGTGGGCGTGGCATGAAGTGGGCGTGGCATGAAGTGGGCGTAACTGCAAGTATTGCAGCCTGCAGATGGATCCTCTTGTAACTAGCAAGCAAGTTGAGACTAACAGTTTTCAGTCTCTCCATGACAGACTCTTGTTTCATCGAGTGAGTGTGTGATGTTAATGATTTCTGTTTTAGATTGGCCAACATAATCAAATTTTAATTTGTCCAAAGGTAAATATTGTTTAAAAAATACAGTAGCTAGCTAGCTCTCAAGCTAACTAGCTAGCTACACAGCTCATGATCGAACTAGCTAGCTCAAGAGCCACTGATGACATCATTTTATAGAAAATCAGTCATTTATTTTATGTTATGTGGTAATTTGTGAGGGACCATTTATAATTTTAATCATACATTTGATGTATTCTACCATCTACTGTATCTATGAACCTCTGCCATTTGATAGATAGATAGATAGCATGTGAAATGACAAATGTCATTGCCTCTGGGTGTGACTTACATACTCAGTCTCCCTCTTGCTCTCCAGGGAGAAGTTGTGCATGTCCATATTGGCTCCTCCTGACACGGACTCCACCTTGTAGCTCTGCGTCTTCCTGTTCTGATCCTTCTGGATCAGCTTGTTGTGCAGCGTAGGCCTGGTGTCTATCGACCCTCGTCTGTGTCCGCCCTTCACAGTCGCCACGCCGGGCAACACAGTCATCGTCTGGGTCACGTTGGCACAACCTTCTTCTACCTGATTTTCACCATTCTCTGTGTAGGGAAAGGTAAGATGAGCACAGTTTATAAACTGTTTCATACTTATTGACACATGTTGAAGTTGAAGTCCGATTGGTAGCTTCTGATTTGGGTTAGATTAATGATGAATTTAGAGGCTGATTCTCTGTTTTTGTGCCACTAAAATTGTGAAAAAGTGATCATATTAGAAATCTTAAAACTCTTTAAACCCACACATAGATTTGTGAATCCTATATTTTAGCTTTGTGAACAGCTTCTTCTGCATTGAAACCACATTACACCATTACACTTCCACATGTCAGATCTGGACTTGATTAGGAGTAAACTGCAGGGACTGTTAAAATTCTCTTAATCTTAATGTCCTATGTGCTCTGAATGCAGAAAAAGCAGTGAAATCACTGTTTTTCTGTGTTCACAAATAGAGTGCAGGCTTCACAGATTCGAAAGTGTCTCTGGGGTCTTCTTGTTAATCTAGTCCAGGTTTGACAAGTGTAAGTGTGGTTGTTTTTAACTTAGACCTGATCTTATGTGGTTTTGATGCAGAAAATGCAGTGAAACTGAAATTGGTTGTTGTGTTTTCCCCCAAGAAATAAAGGATAATAAAGGATTCACAAATCCCGAAGAGGGTTTTAAACAATCTTAAGGCTTTAATTATGAGATTGTGCAATAATACTTTTTCACAGCTGGTAACTATAATTTATTTTTGTCTGAACTTTCCCCTTAAACTCTGAATCGGAAGCTACAAATCAGCATCGTAGATTTGTTTTTTGTTTGCAGTTCTTATAAAATACCATGATACAATATGATGAATGGCTGCTTCTCTTGCACTTAATCCAAAAGAGAATTCTAGGCTGCCTTAGAGAGGCCTGTTTAAAACAGACGAAATAAAGTTAGCTCATTGCCTTGTGGGCTGTTTGGAGCCAGAAATGAAGCCAAGTAATAAACAGAAACATGACGATTTCATATCCACAAATTTCCACAGTATGCAGACCAAGAGATAGAGTCACAAAGAGGAGTCTAAACAAGGCTTTTTAAGGACGCTGTGAAGCAGAAAATGTTGTGTGTGTTTACATGTGTAGGTTGGGGAACAGGGGATTGGGCCTAAAAGAGGAGGAGGTTAGGGCAGTAAGAGGTACAGTGGGAGATAAGGGAACAGATATATTAATAGCCCGTGGTGCTGGCAAAGATTCCTGTCAAATCGGGGACCATCTGACCGAGAGGAAGAGAGGAGGGGGCTCCAAACACTCCTCCCTAATATAGGAGAGGACCAAACTACCCGCCATGTGCCAGCTGGTCTGCCACACCACCACAAGGCCACAGTCAAAGACGCTAACCGAGCTGGGAGACGACGTCCCCAAACAGGCGGGGGGGACGATGGGAACACACATGCAGTGGCTCACACACACCCAAACACAGTTTTAAACTGTTAACTCAAAGCAGATTTTGTGTTCGAGAGCTGCGGTGAGGGCGGCGGGCGGGCATGTAGGGGTGTAACTCGTGTGGGCAGGCGGGCTGGCAGCCCACCCTTTCTCTGTGACCACCTGATCAATTAGTGACGTGGTGGGGCTCCACAGGCTCGCCAGAACTTAGAATAATAACACGGATGTCAACAACAGCATCAACTGCATCGACAGAGTGAAAAGGCAGCAGATGCTCTTCAACCCGATGCAGCCTCCACATGGTTTTCTCTTAAACTCTTAAAAAAAAATGTCCAGAAATGTCCACAACCGAGGACAAAAATATTGAGCCCTGTTTAAAATTCCTGCAAGAATTAATTTTTATTGTCAATATAAACTTTTATATAACCTTTCTAGGAAATCTGGGGTGTTTTAGATAAACACATTACGCAATTTGTTTGTATAATGGCACAGGGGTAAACAGCACAAACTGCGGTGAGGAGAGCTTGTTAATGTCTGGGAGGAGAGGCTGCTCTGGAGCTGGGGACTGATGGCGGTGGAAACCAGTGGGCTGCAGTAACACATTGTGACCAGCAGGGGCGCTTGGGATAATTTCCCACCTCTTTTTTTTCCCCCCATCTCGAATAGTGGAGATAAGTATGTAAATAAGCATGCATTGATACGTGTGTCTCTGCTGTAATTGATTATGTGCTGCCTCACAGACGTGGGAAGAGCTATAAGATGGAACGATTTGCTCCCATTCAAGAAATAATGTTATGTTTGTCCTAAATGCAAATAGTGAGAAACAGGTATAAAATGACAGGGAAGTAAAAAGTGAAATATTCAGACTAAATGAAATAAAACAGCTTGGATAAGTTGCTGATGCTCTGCAAGTGGGTGTATGCATGTTGTTGGAGGCATGCATGTGTGTGTGTGTGTGTGTGTGTGTGTGTGTGTGTGTGTGTGTGTGTGTGTGTGTGTGTATGCATGACAATGTGACTGCTGAGTGCTTGCACACCACACATGACTGTGGCCAAACCAAATAACCAGGAAGAAGAAAACACACAGAGACGCTCCTGGAGGCCTGACGTCAGCAGTGCCCAAACACACAACTGTGTGTATTCACACCGAGGTGGCATGTGTGCCGTCTCACCGGTGTGAGCAGCAGGCGTCCATTCACATGAGACACCATGCAAATGAGATGTCTCAATATTATTCTAGCATGCACAGAGGCAAATATACACTCATTAATAACGGGGCTCTGATTGTGTGTTTTAGTGTGTGTTGGCTGCTTATGGAGAACTCAAGAGAAATGACCCACTCCCCCTCAACCCCTGCCTCCCCCTCCCCTTCCCTTTACCACACAGCTGAGATGTTTTGGCCCACATGGAGCGGGAAAGCTGCAGCACATATTTTCATGCTGTGCACAAAAATCCATGAGCTTTACTTGAAGGAAAATAAGGACATTACAGAAGACAAGGACATGGTCTACGCACAGCCTCGGCTAAATACTGTATACTTACAGTATGTATGTGGCATTCCTTAACTATTGGTTTGAGGGAGCCAGGCTGTTTGTGTGTGTGTGTGTGTGTGTGTGTGTGTGTGTGTGTGTGTGTGTGTATGTGTGTGTGTGTTAGGGAGAAAGAGAGAAGAAGCAGTGTTGCCCTTTCTTAAAACAAACAGTCTGCATATGCCCAAACGTCAAAATCTTTTGATTTTATTTTACATTTTGCATAAGGACAAAAAAAAATGAGCACCAGGTGGGAAAGCAACGGTTGATTGCTGCGTCAACCTCCCAAGCTCATAGCTGCTGTTATCCTCTAAAAACTTTCAGGAGCCTATGGGATTTTGTTTAACCCGTGACCAGCACATCACTGTGCAATGTCAAACCTCCCCTGTGAAAAGCCCACGGTCAGGGTTGGTGTTTTTACACCGCAAAACAGCCCAAAACAATACATTTTCCGCATGTGTCTTTGTGCCTTGTATCTTAAGTGGATCAGTCTAAGCACCCTCATCTCATCCACTATCAGTACACCGCACTTATCAGTGTTTCCATGAACAGGGAGCTCCCCAGAGCTGGTCAGCAAAGAGCACCACCTCATGGGGAGAGCGCCTGTCAAATCCACCAAATAACAACACGCACGCACAAAAAAAAAAAAAAAAAAAAAACCCAACAATAAACAATAAAAGAAGCAAACAAAAACATCGCTTTTTACCTGGTTTTTGTGCCGGTATGAGAATGCTGTTGAGTCTTTTGGACGGAGCGCTGGAGCACACTCCCCGTCCCTCCAGCAGAGCTTGTAGGGGTCGGCTCTCCCCCGGCTGGTGCTGGCAGGTCAAGCCGGAGCCGCAGCGCGCCGTGTACACTCCACACGCCTGTCCCTCGCCGAGGGCGCACGTCATGCAGCAGCCGCAGCCGGGCTCCCTCACCCGCTCCGCGCAGTCCTTCGGCAGGGGCTTGCACTGCAGGAGCGCCCCGGCGTCGCACGGCTCGCATCGGACCACCGGCCCCACAGTGCCGACGAGCCGGGCGACCGCAGCCAGCGCGGCGGCAAGACAAAGCATACACAGACCGGGCATTCTGCCGATTAAGCTGGTCACAAAGGGACAGTATGTGAGTTGTCACGTAGGCTTAAGGGGACTCTCTGTGACACAGCGAGCCGGCTAGCCTTCTCCATCTGTATTTTCTTTTACGCGAACTTCTGGTTTTATATAGGCGGAAAAAAGAGCCAACAAGTCACACCCCTCCGTATGAATAATGTAAACGGAGAGCCCCGATATGAGGGACCGCTACATCCAGTCTGAAGAGAGAGCTGCTCCCGCACTTAACTCTTTTAATCACGTATAATAATTTACAATAAATTACAGGATGTTCATCTGCAGCGCTTTTTTTTATACTCAGGCTGCTCTGGAGAAAAAAAAAAAAAGCAAAAGCAAAAGGTGTTTGTTTCCATCTTGAAATCTGGCCTCTTGTCACAAGACAGGCGAGTTATGAGGGCTGCAGATGGCATGTGGCTGGAAGGTGTTGGCTGCATTTCTCCTCACTGATCACTTATATAGGTATTTTATATGTTACAGATCAGATGCAGATCTACAGAGAGAGAAATAAGCTGCACCAGGGAGGGTTTCTTCCGTGCTGACTGTTCCCAAACCTCTGGAGGTTTCCACACCACTGACTGGCCACATCCCCTGCTGGCACCAGTGGTATGTGAGTGAATGCCAATGGTAGTGTACCCCCCCCCCACCCCCCACCCCCACATGCAAAACATTCCTCTGGGCAGGTGTGTTGGTGGCCTCCATATTAACCCACTAAAACAATAATTTCTTTACATGTAACCTCTGCACGAGTGTGACCACGTGCTCTGGGTTGTAGGAGCCGCAGTGTTAGAAAGAGCATCACCATCAGAACAGCAGCCACAGCCGCTGAGCACGTGCAGACCAGACTGAATACTTGACCCCTTTTTGCCCAAATAGTTTCAGAAGCGGTGCTCACCTTTCACATACCCCGAGCAGACCTGGTGATTTGGCACTTTGCATGGCCCCCCTAAACCCCACCCCACACACACACACACACACACACACACACACACACACACACCTCCTCTCCTCTCCTCTCCTCCTCGACCCCACAGGATTTCAAATTATTAGAAAGAAAATGTTCAGATTCTGCAGGCTCAGCATCGCCCCCCTGTCCGGCATATCCTCCTGTTCTGCAATAACAAACGCGAGAGGGGGGTACACACTGAGAAAATAAAGCAATCAGTATCGGCCATTGTGTGATTTCCACCACAGAAGCAGAAAAAGTGTTGAGACTGCATTATGAAAAACAAGCAGAGGGTAAGGAAACACCCCCGGAATAGCAAGAAAGTGTCTACGGCTAAGATTAGTTTTCTTATTACTTGACATTTTTTCTCTTTCTGCATTTTTTCACGTCTAAAATATTCAGCTTCTGACCTTTGGCTTGTTTATTGTCTGCCCGTCCGTCCAGGGTGATTTACCTAAAGCGGCCCTACAGTCTAAACTAATTCAGCAAAAAAGACATTTGTGGGAAACTGTGCCCCCTTTGTAAGGATACAGTACACTCCTGGTTTATTTGGTCATACTATAAAGGTGGCAGGGTTCATTCTGATGTGCTGTTATTGCTGAAGATAGCTGCTGAACCGGTCCTCAGACAGCATATAAACAGCCTAAATGGATACAACACTCTCACTTTGCTTGATTAGATATTGTGCAATGCAGGAGAAGACAGCATGTGGTAAAGGTCAACAAAGCAGAGCATAACCACAACAATCACCTCCCCTGCACATCCAGATTTCAAGATTCAACAGTCAGAGCAAAGTATGTTGTAATTTGCCTCGGGACAGTTTGGGGTATAATAAAAAGACAAAATGAGATCAGATAACCGCTGGCACAAGCTTGCACGTCTCATTTCCCAAACCATATGTTTGACCCGTCTCCGCTGCAGTCTCAACAAACTGCAATAAGAGATACTATTTGTCTTACTCATTGATCTTGTCTTCATTTTGCGTCTGCACTTTTGTCTTTCACCCTCTTCATCTTCCCCGCCTCAAGCAATCTGATATTCTCTCATTATTAATCTCCCCTTCCTTTCAGCGTCTGTGTCCCCAGTCAACATTCCTCCAAGTTACGTTCCCACAATGCAGCACATTTCAGGCCGTAAATCATTAATTGGAAACACAAAGTCGGTGACAGTCCTCAGTAACACTGGCACAATGCGCTTTATAATTTGAGGTTTTGCGGGAACGAGAGGATCTGGACTGATTTATTTGTTTCCTTCTTCCTCGAGTGATTTGAGCAGCAAATTTCCTCGCTGTCGACATATGCTGCTCTTCATGTATGTGAGCTATACCTTCAGCACGGGCCGCGCTGGCTGACCACGTTATGACCTGCATATCACTTCATACTAGAGCAGGCATTTTACAGGCTATGCGCCATGGATCATGTTGACAGCACTGTTATTTAGTGTTTTGTCACTTGGCCGACTTTCAAGTGCATCACAATCTGCTGCAGCTGGTCCACAGTACGAAAGTGGGTCTTGTTTGGATGTTTTTGCCTTCTTAGTAACTCGGCGTGAAGGTTGAAAGTCATAGTCAGTTAATCTGACTGAAAATGTTAACTCAAGGTTGACTTGCCGGCTTTTTTTTTCCTGCAGCTTTTGTCCACATCTCGTGCAGTTTGCTCTGCTGTCATGGAGCTAGCTCAGTTGTCATTGCGTGACCTCAGTAGAGACCGGAGAGACGACTGAGCAAACTCCATCTACAGATCAACACTGTGTACGTGTGGTTGGAAGTTGAAAGAAGCCAAGAATGAATTTTTCTCACTCAACACTTGTATTAGTTATGATAACATTTTACCCATCAAAGGAAATGCTGAGATCCGGGAACACGGTAACTTCACTACACCAAAGTTCAATGGGACAAGAAGCATGAACAGTTTGGCCGGATCTAAACTGTTTTATTTTAAAGCAAAATTTAAAGTCAGAGCATCTGTAATGTCGTAATAATCATATAATAAGTACGGCGTGTACAGTAAATCAAAGTTGATGTAGTGTGATTTCTTTTTAAAACAGTTTGGATGATAATTTTACAGTTCTTTATTTTCAATTCCAGATGAATATGGCTAATCTAACCTGTCCTGAACACCTGACCACTCGTGTTTATTGTCACATAAGACTTGTTTTTAGTGTTTTTAGTTTTCCTGGTTCGCTTACTAACAGTTACTTTAGTGAGTGCAAGAGCTGTCACTAAATATCTGATCTGTAATGATCTGTTCAAATTCAAGTCTCGGTTTATCAGGTTCAATGTGATTGAACTCCGCACAAAGCAAATGAGGCGGGATCAGTTAGCGACTGGTAGTGATATGTCTCGCCCCGTCCATCACTGACATGAATGGGGAGTGAAATCCAGTGTGACTGCAGCCATAGTGTATTTTTGGATAGGCTAAATGGGGTGCGTTCAAATCAAATCCAACAAATACAAAACGTGTTAGTTGGAATTTGTTAGAACTTGATTTTTTTTGGGAGAAGAACAGATCTGACTTGTAATAAACCAACTTTTAATGAAAACGAAAGTTCCAGTTCCAGAAATCTGATATAGCCATGTATAATTTTGTAAAAGGAAGGAACTCAAACCACAGAAGGAAAACAGAACAAATCACTAGCCGTGTTTCCATCGCAGTTTTGTGCAAAATAGAAGTGATTTGATTTACGAATGGTCTGTGTTTCCACTGAGTGACTTTATGTGAATAAAGCTGGGTTTGCTCCTCTCGCAATATCATTCCAATTAAATAATAAATCCGCCACAGTAGCCATTGTAGTATTTAATCAAAGGCAACGAGGGCATTAAACCCTTTGTATCTGGCAGCGGACACGTATTGGATTTTTGGGGGGAAATTGCCTGCAATGTTTTTGGATGTCATGTGACTTGAATGCAGAAAAAGTGTTTTCATTTCACTTCACTCAAAATATTGCTTTCTTGACTAGGCTGAAAAACTACTTTAACTCATTTCTTTGCAGCATTTGAGTTTTTTGGAAATTCACAAATAGTTTATATAATAATAATAATAACAATAATAACAATAACAATAATAATTTCATATAGCGCATTAAGTAGGTTAATAGAAACATGGCCACTAAAACGTATCCAAACTTTTCCTTTTGCAATACACTCTTCATCACAGTGAAATTAGTTGACTGCTTCCTCATGTTTCCTTTTTAAAACATTTTCTTAAAAGAGTAAAAGAGTCGAAATCAATTAAGCATGTGTCTGTCTGTCCTTTGATTTTCTCGACTGGTATTGCCGAGGAACCGAGGAAGCGTAGTGTCGCCTGTGAAGAGGGAAGTTTTTTGGATGGGCGGTTGGTGAGACCATAACCCTAACCCCTCCATAAATAATGATGTGAGTTTGTAAACAGAACCCATTACTCCCATCAGGCTACCGACAGGCACTGCACTATAGTTAGACTGGTTAGGCTAGTTAGACTTAAACAGCCACACGAAGGCATTTCTTATCAGCAGAATGCGTCCCAGCTCGGTAAACATGCTTATCACGCAGCCCAAATCTTTTAAGATAGTCTGCTGTGCATCCCACTGCTATTATTATGCTGCCCAGCCAACACAACCACTTTCAATCTGAACTTTTTTTTGTTTTTATTTTTACGCAGTTGGGTTGATTTCCCATCAGGAGAATGAATAAGATGTAATTTTGTTGAATGATGTTGACTGTGGGTTATGGGAAAAAGCATAAATAATGGGTTCTGCCAGCTGAGGAAAATCATTTGGTGCTCCTTAACTCAGCTGGGGCGCTCACAGCGAAAACAGGCCTCGTCCGCGTTGGGGGGAACATGGAGATCAGCTAATGAAGCGGGATTCATTTCAGCAGGCTGATAATTACATCTGGGATGTTCGGAGGCCTTTAAACTGACTATATAGCGTGTAGTAAAATCTGGTGAATTTGCAGCACAAAATGTAAGGCTTTATTGGTAGATGTTGGAAATCTGCTGCTTCCATCATTGTCAGAATTGACATCTAGCATTACCGCTTAATGCTTTTAACTGTCTTTTCACTTTAGTGGAGCAAAGAAGGTGGGATGTAACCGAATGTCAGATGCCAACTTGGGTGGTAGACA